TGGTTTCTCACTTTTTGTTTTTCTGGTGGGCATATGCGCCCTATAGCAAAAACTTTTCAAAAAAAAAAAAGTCCCACCTTAAGCCCTATGTATGAGAATCTAGTGAACAAGATAGTTTTCACCTCTTGCAAGGAGCAGTAGTGGCAGATCATGACTACACTGGATTGTCAGAAATTCCAGTTGGAACCTACCAAATATTCTCATCAGAAGATGCAGCTATTGGTAGAGTTGATCATGAATTACTGACATCAAGCAAGGATCGTGAACTCTTAGAATATAGAAATGCCAAAAATTTCTCCACTGATAGAAGATCACAGTACTCCTGAAAAGCAGACTTTCAGTCTCCTGGACTCATCAAACCAAGTTCTGGAATATTTAACTTAGTAAATACCAAAATTCACTTTAAATGCTTCTTTAGAATGTGTAAAACCCTTGAATATTGATATCCTATCAGTTAAAAAAGGTATATAAGTGTTTTGACACAATCTTAAGGACTGTATTTTTTTTTAAGAGGTTTTTCACTATAGGGCACCTGCGCTCGCCAGACAGACAGAGACATAGAGACAGAAAGTGAGAAATCACCCCCCAGGGGGGATGGTCACGCCGCAATCCCTTCTTCTCCATTCTTCTCTCAGGATCTTGGGCACGCACGGACACGCGCCCGGCGTGAGTTTTAAGCCACCAGGTCCCAGACACGAACCGCGGTCAACCACATGGGAGTCCAGCGACATAGCCATTACGCTAACTGCTGGTTCCCAAGGACTGTATTGAAGAGATTTCCACAGACACAAAAGAAGAGGCAAGTGTCTTTTCTCTCATGCAGGGGACTTGGTGGGCTGGCAGCAGCCTGTTCCAAGAGGCCTGCTGTTCCCTGTTCCAAATCTTGCAGTATTTGAGCTCACCCAGGGACAGAGGTACAGGAGAGTCAGTGATGTCCAAGATTTGTGACTCATCCCTTCTGTTCTTAGCATCCACGGCCTCGAAGGATACTAAGCAGGCAGTGCACAGAGCCAGTGTGCAGTGTAGATTCATTCAAGTTGATGTCCTGCTTTGTGGTGGTCAAAGAAATGCACATGAAGATAATCAAGTGTCATCTTATGACCAGTGATTGGGGCCAGCAGGTGACACAGTGGTTAAGGTGCTGGACTACCACATGGTCGATCACAGTTTGAGTCCTGGACCTGTAGCTCGAAATGCATGCAGGGAGAGTGAGTTTGTGTGTGTGTGTGTGTGTGCACGCAACCAGAATCCCAAGAGAATGGAGAAGAGATTGCGGTGTGGCCATCCTCCCTGGGGGGTGATTTCTTGCTGTCTCTCTGGTGAACGCATGTGCCCTATAGCAAAAATCTCTTTAAAAAAAATTAGTGATCAATGGCATCCAGAGCTGGCACTGTCACCTGTCATCCTCCCTTTACAGAGGCATGGTGTACATGCCCATTGACCTGGCAATCTCACTTCTGGCAGGTTTGGTCAGAGGAAATAATCCAGACAGGATGTTAGCCAGTGTTGTTTTTCATGAAAGCAACAAGCAGTATTATTTAAAAAGTGTATATTTTATTTAACTTTATTTTTTCATTTATCTTATTTTAATTTGACAGATAGGGACAGACAGAGAGAGAGAGAAAGAGATGGAAAGTGAGAAAGCAAGCTGCCAGGTCCGGGACTCGAACCACGGTTGGCCATGTGGGAGTCCAGGGCCCTTAACCACCACACCACTTTCCGGCCCCAACAAGTAGTGTTCTTATCCCTTGACAGCTGTCGGTCTGATCAGGCAGGGTGTCTTGGAAGCTGGAGAAAGTACATGTGACACTGTGCAGTGACTGAAAACTGCTGTGACAGCAGCTACAGGGAAGTACGGGTGCCTGTGCACAGACTGGCAGGGCGAGGCAGAGACTGGCTGCACCAAGATTTCGGGTCCAGTAGCTGTGTTTTCCTTCAGGTTTTGTTTTAAATGTAAGTTTTATTGAGGTTAGCATTCAGTTTACCCATAAGTGCGTGTTTCACTGGTTTTTGGTGTATTCACAGAATTGATCAACTATCCTAATTCTGTTTCAGAATAGCCAGCCCCAGGCAGCCATGAACGTCCTGTCTTTGTGTTTGCCTGTGCTCACGTTGCACGTGAGACTGCAGCATGTCTCGTTCGCTAGCTTCTCACTCTGCATGTTTTAAGGTTAATCCACGTTGGAGCCCAATCACTACCTCACTCTTCATGGCTGAATAATATTCCATCACATGACAAGTTTGTATCTACCCATTCACCCATCGTGCACCTCTGGGTTGCTTCCACTCCGGGGCTGTTACGAGTAGTACTGCTGTGAATGCTGCGTGCACTTCTCTGTGTGGGCGAAGTGTTCCTCCTGGGCACATGCCTAGAGGTAGAATCGCTGGGTCAGTGTTACTACAGGAGTAACCTGAGGAGCTACACATTTTCTCCGCCCCCCAGCAGCACTGAGCATTCTAGTTTCCACAGGGCTTGTTACTGGCTCTCTTTATTTCTGCCATCTTAGTGAATGTGAAACCTTGGGACCAGCAGATGACATAATGGTTACGTCAGTGAACTCCCACGTAGTTAACCTCGGTTTGAATCCCAGGCCTGGTAGCTTAAAACACGCTGGGCATGTGTGCATGTGTGCCCAAAATCCTGAGAAGGAATTGCGACATGGCCATCCCCCCAGGGGGTGATTTCTCACTTTCTGTCTCTCTCTCTCCAGCCAGCACACGTGCCCTATAGCAGAAATCTCTCAAGAAAAAAGAAATTGCACTTCGTTATGGTTTTTTCATTTTCCTTATGAGAAAATGTTTATGTGCTTTTTGGCCATTTGGGTTTTTTTTGTTGCTATAGAAAAACTATAGTTGTCACTCACTGGAGAGCAAGAGAGAGGGAAAGTGAGAAATCAATCCTCCTGCACCTCCATGGCCATGCTGCGGTCCCTTCTCCATCTCTTCTTGGGATTTGGGGTACACGTGCACATGTGCCTAGTGTGGTTTTCAAGCTGCTGGGTCTGGTACTTGAACTACAGAGAACTGTGGGATCTGGCTGCCTTAACCTCCATACCACCTGTTGGCCTTGACCATTTATCTTTTCAGGAATATCTGGGGTTTTTTTGTTTTTTTGTTTTTTTTTTTGAGAGATTTTCACTATAGGGTATGTGCGCTTGCCAGACAGACAGAAAGCGAGAAATCAACACCCAGGAGAGATGGTCATGCCCCAATCCTCTCTCCTCCATTCTCCTCTCGGGATCCTGGGCACGCACGCACACGCACCCAGCGTGAGTTTTAAGCCACCGGGTCTGGGACACGAACTGCGGTCAATTGCGTGGGAGTCCAGCGACATAGCCATTACGCTAACTGCTGGTTCTCAGGAATATCTGTTTAAATTCACTGGCCATCTTTAAAATGGGTTCTTTGTGTTACTGAGTTGTAAGAGCTCTTATATATTTTAAATATCACAGATGTATGATTTGTAAAATGTGATATGGTGTAATAGGAAATTGCTGCCTTGAAGTTTTTCATTTTGATGATTTTTAAAAATTCTTTTGCTTATGTTTTTGGCACCCTAAGAAATTGTTGGGCCAGCTCTGTGACTTTGTATTTAAGGGGCCCAAATCCTCACATGGCTGACCTCTGTTACAGTCTCTGCCCCTGTGGCTTGAAAAACAGTCCAGGGGCCAGCAGGAGGCATGGCGGTGAAGGTGCTAGAATCACACAGGGCGGACCACGGTTCAAGTCCCAGACCAGGTCACTTGCTTTCTCACTTTCCTTCTTTCTCTGGTCAGATCAATAATAATAATAATGGGGACCAACAGATGGTGTAATGGTTACACCACTGGACTCCCACGTAGTCAACCACAGTTCAAGTCCCAGACCTAGCGGTTTAAAACTCCTACTGGGTACGTGTGCATGTGTGCCTGCCCAAGGTCCTGGGAGGAGAATGGAGAAGGGATTGTGGCATGGCCATTCCCCTTGAGGGGTTATTTCTCACTTTCTGTGTCTCTGTGTCTGGCAAGCACACATACCTTATAGCAAAAATATCTCTCTAAAAATAATGATAAACTAAATGGGTAATTCTTAAACCACCCCCCCCATCACCACCATCACCCCCACCTCCACCATCACCACCACCATCACCACCACCACCTCCACCCCCCAAATAAAAGGCTGTTGCCTAATCTAAAGTCGTGAAGATTTATGCCATTGTTTTCTTCTAAGAGTTTTATTGTTTTAGCTCTTTGATCCATTTCCTTCCATTTTCCAAACTCATGTTATAGTGGAATCCAGTAGCTTAGACTCAGTCCCTCTGGCTCTGCCCTTGATTTGTGAGATTGACTATTTCAACTAATGAGCTGCAGACACCTCCTCCCCACGTGGTCTGATCCTGCTCCAGAAGGGCTATACTGGGAGAGCTGCTTTAAGTATGCTTTACCACTGTTGAGATTTTCTTGCTAGTTCATATATTTCAATTTGAAAAAGTAATTTGAATTAATGTTTTATGATACCGAGTAAGAGAGAGAGCAAGGTACTCAGGGCATGTGGTGAAAGGAGGAGGCCGGTTTTCCACTTCTTGCTTCCACCCCCCCCAAACAAGGGGAGTAAAGCGAGCCACGGCCCTTGCCAGGCTGGCTCCTTTGGATACCTCACACATGGAATGTGGGTCAGATCTGTTGCTGGTATGGTGAGGACATGGTGTGAAGGGGACACAACGTGGCCCTCAGGGTGCTGACACTCTTGGGGGACACAACATGAGTCAGGAACTGGGGTTTGGAGGACTGGTTAGTGATGTGATGGCAAAGTGGTGGGCAGCCAGAGAGGGGGCATACGAATAAGAGGAGGGCTGGGACTTGGCACCCAAGGCTGGGCCCAGCACCACTGAAGACACTGCTTGTCCTTCCCCAGAAACAGCTCCCAGAACCTTGCCTATATCCTGTCCATCCAGGCCAGCAGCTGACGGAGCTTCACCTATCTCCCTTTTCTGCCTCCCTCACCAGTGATCTGCGGTAAGATCTCCCAGAGCCCCTTCCCTGGACCACAGCAGCCTCCGGCAGAGTTGAGCCCAGTGTCTCCTGCCCTACACTTTAGGGGAGGGAAGGACCCGGTGCCACACAGCTCCTGTGGAAAGCCCTGGAGCAGCCTCAGCCTCACAGGTTAGGTCCTTACCCTTCACTTCCAGATGAGAGAGGATGGAGGATGGCGGCTCTGGGCTGTGTCATCCCTTAGGGAGATGAGGCATCCCAGTGCATAGAGGAGCCCTATGGACGCTCTCCCAAAGAAACTGCTGGCCGCACTCAGAGACCTGCCTGGAGAAAAGTAAAAGGCACCTGAGCTCAAGGGGAGGGGACAGCTGAGGCTGGTGAGAGGAGCCGGGAAGCTGTGTGTGGGCTCCAATGTGTGCCTTACACAGCAGTCCTCACTGCCGCAGCCCAGGGCCCAAGAGGGAGGGAAGCAGGCTGGCTGTGGACTCAGTTCCTGTCTGGGTTTCCTTCCAGGTCCAGGAGAAACAGCAAAGATGTCTAATGAGCCACCCCCTCCTTATCCTGGGGGTCCTACAGCTCCCCTTCTAGAGGAGAAAAGTGGAGCTCCGCCTACCCCAGGTAGGGTCTACTGCTCCTGAAGATCCCTTGCTTCAGCTCCCCTGATCATGCTGAGCCACCTCTTTCTGCTTCTGTCCAGGTCGCACCTCCCCAGCTGTGATGCAGCCCCCACCAGGCATGCCCCTGCCTCCTGCAGACATAGGCCCCCCACCCTACGAGCCACCAGGCCACCCAATGCCCCAGCCTGGCTTCGCCGCCCCCCACATGGGTGCAGATGGAGCGTATATGCCTCCAGGTGAGCTTGGGAAGGGTCTGCGGGAGCAGCAGGCTGTCTCGGCTGCATCCAGACTTTGCTCCAAGCAACTGGTCAGTATGTGCCAGCTTCTGCTATAGGAGGGCCACAGGTGTCCCCAGCCAGGCCTGGCTCTGGCCCTAGTTCCAGCCATGTGTGTGCATGGTCTGTGGCTGTGGGATGGTGGCCCCTGGTAAGGCTCTTGCAGGCTTGTTCTGAGGAGGGTCAGCACAGCTGCTCCCCTCCAGGGCTCCTGCTTGCCAGCAGCTTTTCAGAGGGACTACTTGAGATGGAAAGGGGCCACAGGTCAGGTGGGCACACCAGAATCTGTCCAGCTGGGCACTGTGGGCAAGAGTTTGTCTCCTGTGTGAGGGCCTGGAGGCTGCACCCAGTCCCGCATGCCAGAGGCTTGGAGAATACAACCAGTGAGACTAAGGGTGAGAGAGACTGGGCCATGTTCCCAGTCTGCCGTGGAGTAGAGGTCAGGAGGAGCTGAGAGGATATGGGTAGTCATCTTGACCCAGGTCCCTGGCCACAAGGCCTCCTGTCACCATGCCCTGGCCCCCACAGGCAGGGTGGTAGGAAGTTGCTGGTTTGTCCCAGGAGGACTGGGGCCGGGGGCTCTGTGGTCATTTCATCTGGGGCAGGCAACAAGCCAGTCTCCTCTGTTTCTTCTGCCGTTCCAGGTTACTACCCTCCCCCAGGCCCCCACCCGCCCATGGGCTACTACCCGCCAGGGCCCTACCCACCAGGGCCCTACCCTGGCCCTGGGGGCCACACAGCCACAGTCCTGGTCCCTTCAGGGGCTGCCACCACGGTGACAGTGCTCCAAGGGGAAATCTTCGAAGGTGCGCCTGTGCAGACAGTGTGTCCCCACTGCCAGCAGGCCATCACTACCAAGATCTCCTACGAGATCGGCCTGATGAATTTCGTGCTGGGCTTCTTCTGCTGCTTCATGGGGTAGGTGGCAAGGGCTCGTGTGGGGCTGCAGGCTGTCTCTTCCCGCTGGCTGCAGGCTCACCGTCTCCCCATCTCTGACACAGATGCGATCTTGGCTGCTGCTTGATCCCCTGCCTCATCAACGACTTCAAGGACGTGACACACACGTGCCCCAGCTGCAAAGCCTACATCTACACGTACAAGCGTCTGTGCTAACGGAGCTGGGACTCGGACTCCCTGCCTGTCGGTCTGAACCCTGTGCTTTGCTCCCCATGCTCAGTGGTTGTTTCCCCATTCCCACTTGGGGGTGGAAGCCATGCCCCCATCCCCTGGAAGTCTTGTCCTCTTTGCTCTGCCCTACCCTGAGCATCTGACTCTTACAGCAAAAATGCTGTTGGATTTAAGGCCGAGGGTCAGTGGGGTGGTGGGATGGCACTGAGCTGGTGTATGGCCGGTTTGCTTGGCACTTGTGATCAGGAAGATAAGCTGGGGAGGATCTCCCACCAGGGTCCTCACTGCTCCATTTCTGTACAAGGTTCAAGTTCAGTCCTGACTTTCTCTCTGGGATCAACAGCAGCCAGTTCTCCCCCAGGGACCTGCACTGGAGCTATGCCTGGAGTTAGTTGCTTTTGACCTGTTGGGGTAATAAAGGACTCGTCTGGAGTTGGGTGGACCCCAGCAGGAAAGGGCCTAGGGCTTGGACTTGTTTCTGGGGTACTTTGCCCCTCTAGGGTGCTGGAGGCAAGGCATGGTGGTCAGAAGTAATGGCTGCCAACTCCAGCCATCAAGACTCTTGGGTATCAAACCAAGACCTTCAACACCCTGTCCAAGAAAGCACCTGGCGTGATGCAGAGGATGCTGGCAAGTGGTCAGGCCCTAGGAGCCAGAAAGGACCTCGCCCCTGCCCAGCTCCTTTTGAGTCTGTATGCAGACTCCCTTTCGGCCCACACCTCTATGAACCCTGTATTTGCTGGGGCCAGGAGAAATGCCTTTGAGCCTAGCCTGTCTGTTTACCCCATGTTGTCCTTCAGTGGGGTGCACCTCTGCCCAGTGTCTGGTGCGTCCTTGTTGGGACAGGAGATGTCAGAGAGGGGGCCTCTGCAGGTGCCCTTGGATCTGCAGTCCCTCGTCATCAAGCCTCTTCAGTGAGCGCCGGGTCCCTGGCTGCAGCTGACTCGCTGTTGCTGTGCTTGCGCACACTGGCACTGCTGCAGGAGCAGCTGCAGAACTGGGCTGTGCCTAGGAAGGCACAGCCCCAAGGTGGAGTGCCCTGGTGGACGCCAGCCCTGCCCTGGACCCAAGCCCAAACCTGTATTCCGAGTGGTTTGTCTGTGAACCTGCTCACTGGACCGCTGTACCCTGCTGCCGTCCCTTTCCTGGTCTCGCACTGCCACTGCATGGCCTCCTGTCACTGTGAATCGTGGCTGGTCTCAGTTTGTAGTTCTCATTAAATTGGCACTGTCACTCCCCTGCCCTGGGCCTCTGATCTCTCGCCTGGCTTCCTTGTTTTTTGCGGGAACAAGGGTGGGGCCTCAGGTGTCCACCTACAGGGCAGGGGCAGCGTCCTCAGGGTCTCACACACCTCAATTCTTACCTAGTGCTAGCTGCCCAGGGACAAGGCTGGCTTTAAGGACCTAATCAAGCCACAGCAAAAGACTGACCCTGAAGATTCCAACTGTGACCAAGTTGGGTCACGAGTCAGCTGCAGCGGTGGCTGGAAGGTTACTCCTGCATCTCCTCCGATACTGGTCTCACCTGTCTGCTCCAGGGTGTCCCCCCTGGGGATCTGCAACTGGAACTCCCAGGTTTGAGCTCAGCACTCTGACCCTGCACATAGGCAGGTGCTCTAGTTCCCTTAAGCAAGCCAGAGCTGAGGCCTACAGCCTGAAGGTCAGTAGTCCCAGTGGGTGCCTGGGCCCTGGGCCTGCCCCCTGAGCCCACCAACTTTTCTGAACTGTGAAGGCGGCAACTCAGGCAGTAGTTTAAAAAGAGTTTCCCTACTGTGTAATCCTTTCTTGGACAACTTTTACAGATCCTTAGTATATGAAACAGGTAATAGATTCCTATCAATAAAAATATTTAAGTTCACATTTCTATTTTAGACAATGAATTATTTACATGCAAATGTATGCTTTTTAATCCTTATTGGTAAAACAAAACTCTTCTAAGAAAGAAACCTCCAAAGTACTTTGTAGTTAAGAAGTTCCAGGACCAGGTAAAGAACCTTTGTGCAGGTTGGAGGGACAGTCTGGAGACAAAGGGTGCTGGGAGGTTAAGTGACAGGTTAGGGAGCACTCAGTACAGGAGGCACGACAGATGCCGTGAAGGCATATGTCCACATACCACACACAGACATGCCCTTGCTCCTGAAGGACTGTCCTCCCCCCTGGGCTACGGGGACCACCGGGGCCAGGAAAGAGGGAGGAAGCGTGCAGAGTCCATTTTATTGAGTGCTATAGCATTCACACAGCTCCGAGGAGGAGGCACATCACAGCGAATAGACCTTGGGGGTTTCTGGTGAGAGGGACGAGCTCTCAGAGCCTCTGAGACATGGGAAGGGCCTGGCTTCTGCCAACCCCCACTCCCCACCCCCAGGCCCTACAAAAGCCCAGAAATTGAGCAGCATCCGGCCTGGCGAGGCCCTCTCCCACAGAACCAGGGAAAGAATGCTATTCAAGTGCAGCAAGAACAACAGGAACGGAGCAGAGTATAGGGCTCAGAGGTGTGGGACCCCTGGCAGAGGTGGGGCAGAGGCCTAGGACCACCAAGCCTAGCTGCACTGTATTACCTGCTTCTGAGGTGACAGCCTGTGCCCAGCATGACATCTGGCCCACAGAAAGGACGCTGTCAGGCGGGGCTCTAACGTCTGGCTTTTATTTGTTGTTTTCTTAAACCCAGCAGTTTAAAAAAAAAAAAAAAAAGTCACCTGAGGCGGTAGTTTAGTCAGGGGTGGAGATGGGGTAGGACAGCAGTCACTTGGGAGGAGGGCACCAGCATGGTGTGACAGGTCCTTCACATGTAGTACCAGGCTAAGAGTCCAGCAGCCAGGGCCACGCCGGCGGCCAGAATGAACTGGAGGCTGGGCTTCCTCAGCACGGCCATGGCTGTTCGGAAGGGGCAGCTGCTGCCCTCCAGGGCACCTGCATGGCAGCACCAACAGGAGATGCCATCAGTGGTGGCCGCGGACACACCTGACCAGGAGGGGGTTCAGGGCACACCACCCT